AATACTTTTTTGTTTGTTTACATATCTTGTAATTTTTTGCTGAAAACTGGTCATTTTAGATAATACTTTTTGTAATTCTGGAGTCTGATAGTTCCCCGTGAAAACTGTTGTTGTTTTGTTTGTTCTTTGTTTGGTAATTTATAGGATGTGGCTAAATCAGTGCTTCAAGGAAAATTTGTGGGTTTAAACACATATCAGAAAAGGAGAAATGTCTCAAATCAATCACCTAAGCTTGCACCTTAAGAAACTGGGGGGGGGGGGGAAGCAAAATACACCCAAAAGAGGCAAAAGAAAGGAAACAGAAATCAGTGAAATAAAAATCAGAAAACAATAGAGAAAAATCAAGAAAATCACGAATTGATTCTTTGAAAAGATCGGCAAAATTGAAAGCCTTTAGCTGACTCAAAAAATGTATATGAAAAAGCAAAGAACCTAGAATATCCAAAGGTGTTTTGAAAGCAATCAACAAAATTAAAGAACTTAGATTACCCAATTTCCAAATTTACTATTAAGCTACAGTAATTCAGACAAAGTGGGTTCTTGAGGCAAAGCTAGGCATATATATCAATGGAATGGAAATGAGAGCCCAGAAATAAACCCTTACATTGTTAATTGATTTTTAATAAAGATACCAAGATAATTACATGTGGAAAAATAGTCTTTTCAACAGATGGTGCTGGGAAAATTGGATATTCACAATTCACAATATTCACAAAAAATAATAAAGTTAACTGAAAATAGTTCCTAAACCTATATATGACCTAAGACTATAAAAATTCTGGAAGAAAACATAGGAGAAAATCATGACCTTGGGTTAGGCAAAGCATTATTAGATACAGCACTTAGTATTTTTATTATGAATTATCTCATTCAAAGCATGATCCATAAAAGAAAAGTTGCTAAAATGGGCTTCATTAAAACTAAAAACTTTTGCTCTTAAAAAGATACCATTAAGAAATGAAAAGACAAGCTACAGAGTGGGAGAAAATTTTTGAAAATCATATATCTGGTAAAGGACTTGTATCCAGAATGCATACGGAACTCTTGTAACTCAAAATAAGACAGACAACCCAGTTTAGAAATAGATAAAATATTTGAATTGATATTTCACCAAAAAGATATATAAATGGCTAAGAAGGACATGAAAAGATGCTCAACATCATTGTTGTTGTTGTTTTCAGGTGCTGTCAAGTCGGTTCTGACTCGTAGTGACCCTGTAGGACAGAGTAGAACTGCCCATAGAGTTTCCAAGGCTGTAAATCTTTACAGATGCAGACCGCCACATCTTTCTCCCACGGAGCGGCTGGTGGGTTCGAACAACTGACCTTTTGATTAGCAGTCGAGTGCTTAACCACTGTGTCCCCAGGGCTCCATTTCATTAGGGGGTACAAATTAAAACCATTAGATACTACTACATACACACTAGAAGGGCTGTTATCGAAAAGACAGTACCAAGGGTTGGTGAAGATGTAGAGAAACTGGAAACCTCAGGCACTGGTGATGGGAATGTACAATGGCACAGCCACTTGAGAAAACGTTGACACTTTCTTCAAAGGTTAAAGATAAACTTATCCTATGACACAGCAATTCCACTCTTAAGAATCTACTCAAGAGAAATGAAAACATATGTCCACACACAAACATATATGTGAGTGTTGATAGCAACATTATTCATGATAGTCCAAAACTGAAAACAGTCCATATGTTCATTAGCTGGTGAATGGATAAACAAAATGTGGTAGGTATATCCATACAGTGGAATACTATTCATAAATAGAAAGGAACACATTATTGATAACATGCTACAACGTGTATGAATCTCAAAAACCATTATACTAAGTGAGAAAAGCAGCTGCAAAAGACTACATATTTTATGATTCCATTTCCATGAAAAGTCCAGAAAGGGGAAGTTTATGGAGACACAAAGCAGACCAGTGGTTGCCCAGAGCTGAGGATGAGAGAGCAGATTAACTGCAAATGGCATGAGGAAACTTTGTGGGTTGATCAAAATGTTCTAAAACTGGATTGTGGTGTGGTTGCACAACTCTTTAAAGTTACTAAAAGTCATTGAATTGCACACATAAAATAGATGAATTCTATGGTATGTAAATTATCCCTCCGTATCTTAGGTTTCTCTAGAGAAATAGAACCAGTGGTCTTGTGTCCAAAGATCTGTAGGTCAGGCGATGAGATGAGTGTAGAGTGAAGAAAGTTCTGCCTAAACATCTGTTTCTAGTCTGGAGGCAGAACACACCCTTAGGAAACTCCCTTTTCTACTGACTGATTACATTACATTAGATGACATGATGGAAGGTGATTTCATTTCATTAGATTAGATTGCCTTATGGAACAGCATCCAGACTGGTGTTTGACCAAACCCCTGGGAACCATAGCCTAGCCAAGCTGACACATAAAATTAACCCTCACACTCAGGAAAGCTGGTAAAACAAAAGCAAAAATTGGAGGCATCATAAACGTGTCAGGGCATCTGCCTTCATTATGTGCAGGGTCTACTGTAAATGTGCATGTGACCGCTTCTCTTATCCCACACTAACGGTCCTGTTGCTGTTAACCTTTACATGCATGATACCTGTTTTTGAAGAAGTTACAACACATTTCAGTTATTGGATCAAATTATCTGGTTTGAGTCAACTGGTGCACAGAAAGCGATTTTATAATATAAAGTCGTCCATTCAGACTTTGGGTAAAGTTTAGTTCAGTGCATGTATAGTTCATTAGGGTTGAAAGACTTCTACTTTTCCTCCTAAACCTCCTGCTGATGAAGGGAGTAACTAACTGGCTTTTCAGAATTTGGAGCAATACCTAATTAATATCAAGATGTGTCTTAGAAACAGAGAATTGGTATATATAACTGTCCTGTTTTATTATATGAGGATGATAGAAACAAAGTGTTACTCAGGGTTATGTTTCAGATCAATTACAAACGCCTGAGTTTAGCTCAGGTATCCCCCACTACCTTGCTGGCAGCTGGAGTAGTATTAGGCATAGTTCTCATTCAAGGAAACAAGTCAATCGGCTATTAATCAAGTCCGTTTGTCACTGGGGATGAATTTACAAGCTCTTTCCTTTCATCTGGAGCCCTGGTGGGCAGTGGTTAAGAGCTCGGCTGCTAACTGAAAGGTCGGCAGTTCGGATCCACCAGCTGCTCCTTGGAAACCTACGGGGCACTTCTACTCTGTCCTATAGGGTCGCTGTGAGTCGGAGTTGACCCGACGGCCGCGGGTTTGGTTTCCTTTCATATGTTTCTGTTTTCCCTTGATTCACCAGTTGGATCCCTGTTACTCACCAAACCCTTCCTTTTTAGCTGCTGCAGTTCAACCCTGTGGAGCGGCTTGGTGCTGGTGTTGCTGGTGTTGAAGACATCAAATCTCACCCGTTCTTCACCCCCGTGGATTGGGCGGCACTGACGAGATGAACGGGATGCAGGGTTATCTGCACACATCCTGGTCTTTTCTGTGACAGCCTCTCTAGCACAGGGGCACCCGCCCTCACGGGCATTTCTGGAGGACCAAGTCACTGAATCAAGACATTTAAGGAAGTGGGGGAAGAAAAGGTTAAAAGAGAATCATTTATATACAGTTACTGCCTGGAGGAGACATTGGCTGATTTATATAGCAAGGGGCTGTTACACACAATCCTTTAACCAAGGTGTGCTCTTTGTTGAATCTGCATTTAGTGTTGCAGATGAGATGTAAAGCCAGCAGGAGGAGGAATGCCTTTCCAGATGTTCTTCTGATATCAAGTTCTAAGTGTAGAATAAAGTCTTACTTGAAAGAAGGACCTTTATATGGCAGCTAACAGTGTTTTCTGCTAACCAAGATAGATTGAAATGATCAAATTAATATTTGCTGAATAATATACTAGAAGTTCTTCGTGAATAATGTCATCTGTGGAGCCTAATAGGAAACCTGTACCACGCACGATGCCGTACAATTGATGTATCTTGAATGTGGTCTCCTATTGTTTCATTCTTTCAGAAGTCCACGTGAGGAGAAAATACTGTGCTGTCAACGTTGTACTTCGTTGGTTGATGCTCTTTACTTAGAGAAGGCATTCATATAAACACCCGCGTTGTGTCTCTCTTCGGCTTCATTTCCTTTCCCTATCTTGCCATTTCTACATCCTGGCCTGGTCTCTCCTATTCCATTCTTCCCACCCCTACTAATAGACATCAACAAAAAAGGGAAGGGAGTATTGATTTCCCAAATTGTATCAACTTAATAAGGATGAAGAGATCATGATATGCAATAAACGTGGTAAAAATTTAAATCTCTGCTTTATTTAATAGCTTAATTTTTTTTTTTTTTTAGAAAGGCCTCTATTCCTTTCCTTTTGGGATATTATCAATTTCTATTTCTTCTTCTTACGTGTAACTTCATTTTACTTTTTGGCTAGTGTACTAAGAACCAAAGGATCTCATCTAAATGGAGTTGAGTGGCAATCCTATTTTATTACTACAGTTATGGGATTTCCAGATTTGCCCTTCTGATTTACTAGACATTGTGTAGAAAGAATATGTGTGCTCCTACAGCTCCGAACATTCGTATTTTGCGTTTCTTTATGTTGGTTAGATATCTCCTGTGGTCATGCATTTTCCTGTAATCATGCGTTGCTGAGTGACATCATCTTCTATTCCTTACATTAACAAATGTTTTAAAAAATGTTAATATCTATTTTTAAAACTTTGTCCAAAGAAGAAAGAATAAGTCACTATTTCCAAGTTGGGAGTCACCAAAAATAATCGATTTTTTCTGTATGTTTTAAGTCTTCCTTGTGTTTTTGAGATCTGTAGCCCACCTCTCTTTGAGAACATCTGCACAGCTTCCATCTGCCATCGTCCGGATCCTCCCATCAAATGCAAATGGAAGTACAAAATGCTTCAGTGAAACAAAGGAAATGTGCAAGCAGTTTTTCATTTTTCTATTATTCTGCTCCCCCTTTTTCCTTTTTGGTCCCCTTTCTTGTAACCTGAACCCCAGCTGAAGGGCTGCAACAACACCAGGTTGGGGAACAGGTCACCAGATCACAGCTCAATCAAGATGACGTCACTCCCTGGAACTGCAGTTCAGCTCTCCGACAGACGGCCTCATGACAGGAACTGGTGCAGGTGAGACCTAAGAGTGGCTTCCTGTGAGGATGAGTAGGAAGTGTGCGAACACTTAGTGCTGGCCGTTAGAGAGCTTCCTTCCAGAAGTGCCCTGTGACATGAGAGCAGGACTCCAAGCTAAGGTGAAGCTCCCTGCCTACCACATGACTGGGTAGTGTCAACAGATGGTTGCTTTGTCAGTCTGCTGAACAATTCCAGTGCTTCACTTTCTCCCACTGTCATTCTGTTTGTCTGATTGGAACTTGTGCTTAATGTAAATACATCATTCCTAATCACGGTTGACGTGAGTTATTTTAGTAATAAACACACAGGTTGAGTGGCTTTGGGCTCATGAGCCCGAGTCTGTTTTTATTTGGTGATGTGCTAGTATTTTAAGCTCTGATACTGTGGGTGATCCTAGTCTTGCTCTTTTTTGTTGTTTTTGTTTATGTTTGTTTCGTTTTGTTTTTAGCAAGAGTGCGGAATGTGGGTCAAAAATTATGAAAGAAAATCACTACTTAGTATTTCTCATTCAATTTTATGTTTTATTTCTATATGAAATTAAAAATGTCATTGATTATTATTTTACTATGCTCTTTATAGAAGGGCTTTTCCAAACAAGTTACCAATAACATGATGATGTCATGCCACTTATCTTAGGATAAGTTATGAAAATTTGACATTTCTATATCACACATGGGTAAGTTAAGCTTCCTAAGTGTTAAAAAAATGCCATCATTTTAGCAATTTGCTTTAACAATGACACAAGTTAATGCTATGTAAGACATGAATATTTTCAGCTTAATTGCTATGATAACTGAATTCCTAATAATGTATTTAAACTTGTCTTAAACTCTTTTAAACAGCTACCATTCATGTTGTATTGACCCCTAAGCCTTTCCTGTCCTGTTTCAGAGTTGCTGTGAACCAGGATTGAGGTTTACTTTGACATAATGCATGCACTGAAGAGTATAACATTTGTAAATAATACTCATGGTACGACCAGTAAGACTATATTATGGCCTGACACATAATAGGCTTTGGTGAGATTCACTTGCCTTTAAGTTATGAATTCAGATAGAAAGAAGTCTGATTAAAGTGCTAGAAGGTTCTTTGCTTCCCAAGAGCCCCCTAGAGTATCGTTATTGGACTCGCTTAGGGATTATTTTATAGTGAAGGCCAAGGCATGAGATGGATCATCTTTCTTCTTAGAGAAGCTGGATCTAACCTCTGGCATATCTAAATGCCCTGGATTATGAAGCCTGCTATTTCCAGCTCTTTCTCTGAGGATTGTAGGATATAATGGAAAGTCTTGGCTTGCTCTCCTGGTCCTGTCTCTGACTAGCTAGCCTGGTAACCTTGATCAATAACAATATTCTAGACCTGTTCCCACATCTGAGGAATAAAAGGGGAGGTGAGTTCTAAGATTCCATCTAGCTCTACAAGCATATGATGGATTTTCTATTTTCAGAGTGAATTAATTTGATAAACTAACTTTGTAGGGAAAGAAAAGGTTAATGAAACTCTTAAATGGGTACTTAACTCTTTTGGTGTAATTCTTTTTCTAGTAATTCCAGGTACTTGGGTTCCTGCCATATACCCTTAGTGGTTACGTGGCTGTAGAAATTATAAATAGAATGAAATATGGAAAGGTTTCTCAGCAGCTGTCCACTGAAAAGGGAGAGTTGAAGGTCAGAGAGAAGTGCGCAGAGGTGAAAGGTTAGGAGACACCTGCAGTTGCCCACTTCTTAGACCTTTCTCAGTGACCATGATAGTGTCTCCTCCCCTGTCGCCCTCATCTATCACATTCTATGAGTTTACCTGACTCAGCCCTTTGGCAGGCAAATCAGAGTACAAAATTGATACTTTCTGTTCCTACTTAAAGCAGAGCATTAACCTCTACCAGTCTAGGTAATTTGGATTTTTGAGTATTTGATGATTACTCAGCTCATTTTAAGGATTTCATGTTAAGCCCTCGTGTTGAAGGGTTACTGAATGGCAAAAGCTGTGAAGTCAGCTATTTCTAAATAAAGTTGTAAACATAATAGCATTAGGGGAATGGGAAGCAAAGTACTGTAGGTTTTTGTGACTTGGCATTACTTGTTCTTTCAAGGAAAATGAATAGGAAACCAGGGAACGAGCTTCTTTTTGGTAAGATTTACGATAGTGGTGTCGGGTTGTCAGATGGTACAGCCTCATATTTTTGGATCACTTTTGACCTGAGATCTGTCCCTATCCCATGACTTCTTCCCTTGATCCAGGTATCTCGTCTCAGGGAGAAATAGAGGCAGAGAGAATTTGTGGAGGCTTAAGAGACAAAGTAACCTGAGGGGGGTTGTCCAGATGAAATGAAGCAGAGCTCTCAGGAGGTGTGTTGGTCCAGGTATCTGGAGCAATACAGCCTTCTTTGTTGAGCTGGATTTAAAGTGCAAATTCTTTGTTCTTCCCTTAGGAAGAGTTGGGCAGAAATTGAAACTTCCTACCATCCCAGAAAAGAGGTGGCTGAACTGCCTTTTAGGAAAGGATTAAGTGACACACTTATCTAGAGTCAGTTTCGTCTTCGTCTCCTTGCTGAAGACAAGTGGTATGGCTGGTCCTAAAGGCAGAGGCCATGGGCGTCGGTAAAGGGCTGCTGGGATTTCTCGGGGGCACGGTTACCTCTTATCGAATGTAGTGAGGAGCAGTGACAAATGAACCAGCTTTGGGCTCACACAGGGTTGCTGGCATCCTGCTCTTGTAAATCTCAAGTCAAAAATTGTCGTATCAAAAAGTTAACTCTTCTAGGAATGTTGATTAAATTCCTCCCAAAGTTTGGGCATTGGGTAGCGTTAGGTATCCACAAGGCAAAGGTTTGACTAGCCCCACCAAAAGAGGCAAACGTTAAAGGCATTTGAGCAGTTTCAGTGCCAAAATAATGGCTGTAATGTGAAGTTGCCCTTATCATATTGGAGATGTATACGTTTGTCATCATGTTGTTGGGTGCTGTTGAGTTGATTCTGACTCGTAGCGACCCCACGTGACAGAGGAGAACTGCCCAACAGCATTTATGGAAGTAGATTGCCAGGTCTTTTCTCCTGTGGAGCTGCTGGTTCCTCTAACCACCAACCTTTCGGTTAGCAGATGAGCACTTAACCATTGTGTGACCAGGGCTCCTTTATATAAATATAGATGATTCAGTAGGACATAGAAAACAATGAAGAAGAAAAGGAGGTAGTGCTGGCAAAACATTAATAAAAAAAAAATCTGTACATGGTTCTAGAAAGAAAATGTTTTAGATAGTTGAAGGAGCTGCCTTTAGCAAAAAGGTTCTGGTTGACTGAGAAAATGTCATTAAAACTGAGCTTTTCTCTCACCTTCTGCCCACTCCTTTCTCTTTTTCTATTCTTCTCTTTCCACCTGTCTTCACTTCCTCTTCACCGCCTCCCACCCCCATTTTGGACTTCTCTGGTCACTAAGCAAAAGACTTGGTACGTGCCTTCAAGGGCCTTCTAAAGCTCAGAGGAAGAAAGAAGCATAGATAGTAAGTAGGGCAGAGTGTGGCCAGCGTTAATAGTAAGTAGGACAGAGTATGGTGGACGTTAATAAAGTACAGGAGTGTGGTGAGCTTGCAAGGGGAGGTCTGAGGAGCTTCAGGGATGCTTCCTGGATTGCAGCAGTATCTTGAAGTTTGAGTAATTTTTTAAATATAAGGTTTTTAAAAATTATGTTTTATTTTTTTAAGGTTTTGTTTGTGGAGAAGGAAAGTATTCGGGGGAAGAGACTGTGTATGATAGTATAGAAATGCTTGGCCAGTGTGTTGGGTGCATGAATTGGAAAGGTCACCTGGGGCCAGGTTACATGCCAGGGAAGATGTTCGGACTTTATTCTCTAGGTTGTGGGAAACTAGTGAAGGTTCGTAGAGACGTGGCATTATAACCTGCTTTTACAAAGATAATTTTAGGCGTAGAATGGAGACTTAATTGGAGAAAGAGAGATGGTAGAGGCAGGGAGAGCAGCTAGGAGCTGTTGCAGAAATTGAGACTAGATAAAGTCGTGAGCTAAGGTGGCAGGATATGAAAGGGGGGGGGTATGTAATCAGACTCTATTCTGTGTCTCTCAAAACGTACCCAGTATAGTTTCCCTATCAAATAATTGCTTTCTTTTTTTCTTGAACCAGTACGTATGAGGAGATGATGGATTTTTTGTTTGTAAAATCACCCCCAAGGAATCACCAGAGAGACAAACCAGGAAAGTGTATACACCCCCGCGCCCCGGATGATAGTTACTATTCAGAGCTTCACACCCCTGGGCCCCAGCTCTCTTTCTTCCATTATTTTGTGGCGCTCCTTCCCACTTCTTGCTTTTATACGCTTGGTTTGCTTTCTCTTTGGACAGTGTTGTGATCTCTTTGAAGGCAGTGCATCCGGCTAGGTGGTTTCTTTTGTACCAGACCTCTGGTGTACATTTAGCTTAGCTCAGTGGTTCCCAAAAAGTGGCCCCCAATCTGGGTCAAGGGAATAGGAGTGATCTTTACTCTTTTGAAAACTTTTACGTTTGAATTATTTCCAAATAAAAAGTCTTAGGAAAATGAAAAAAAAAAAAAAAAAAGTGGTTCCAGTTTGTCCACATGGGCAACTTGTTAGAAGTTGTTAGAAATGCGTGTTCTCGGGCCCCATCCCAAACCTGCTGAGTCCGAAGCTGACGGGTGGGCTCAGCAGTGTGCACTCGCCTCCTCGAGTGTGAGAACCACTGGCTTAGTCTGACTTCAGGTTATTGCCTCTGCCCTGGGTGCTCATGAGCATCCCGTCTGGTGTGTGTGTGTTGAGTGTGAAGCCGTCTCCGGACACTCAGCACACTTCCCAGGAGGCAGGCTTCGGGAGTCACGTGGCAGTGGCAACTGGTGACAGGAAAAGACAGTGAGGACAAGGAGGAAAGGAAAAGGAAAGGCAAACGGTCAGTTGAAGAAAGAGAAGATCAGAGAGAGGACGAAGGAGGAGCATGGCGTGGGGAGTGCTTCACTTCCCCCGAAGAGACGCAGCCACTTCCGTCACAGTCGTCTGTAATCGAGCAACGCGCCCCCTATAGGCAGCTTTTGTTATCTCCAATTCACTTTGGAAGTCGATGGAATAAGCACCGAATTAGAATTGTAATTCTTTTGATTATCTGTTGTATATTGTTGCGTGTTTTGCTCCTTCTTAAGCAGAGCTACATTTAGCGTGGGTTCCTGTGTGGTTCAAAATCGCAATGTAAAGAATCTAAACCAAGCTTGGGGAAAATACCTGTTCCCATCAGGTTCTGACAGCGTAGAGGACTCGCTCTGTGCTCTCTTTAGAGCTGGCGGACTCAGTGGGGGTGCTCTCTGGGTAGACTTGGTCTTATCTTCTGTAAATGGGCAGCAAGCTTCACAGGAGTGAACGGAAATTTATTAGATGTTCCCTGAAGGTTAAGGGTGTGTGTGTGTTGGGAGAAGGTGAGTAACCTTCCTATCTTTTTATTTTTCGTTTTAAATGAAGGATATTTCATTTGTAAAGTGCCAAGATTATTTGATGAGGTTTTTAATAAGGTATATTTTGACCAAATACATATTTGCCCTATCAATGAGCATGTGCAAAATGTTTAGATAATTTGCGTTTTCAGTAGGTGGGGTTCAGTGTCGGCAGTGGCTTCAGCTGCCCAGACGTTCTCTCCGTGCCTGGGCTCAGTCTCAGTAGTAACGTGCCGTCTTTTTTTAAAAAATGACACTATAGCCTAACCCACCATTCATAGGACATGCTTTGCATCATTTTTTCCAGTGGTGGGGAGTGGTTCCCACTGACCTCTCACCCTCACCCACTGATTATGACCAGAGGCACACCCAGGGGGTCCTGGTTAGGGGGTGCAGTATCTGATGGATGGAGAGGATCCATTGTGCCCTGAAGAGAGGCAAGGCCGCCAGCTGGTAGGTGACCTTTGGGGCTGTTTCCCCTAGTCTTCTGACTGCACGGCCAGGGTCCTTTCCACCCTGGCAGAGCCCGTCTCTCAGTCTCGCTCGCTGATAAAACCGCTCCGTAAAGTGTCAGACCCTTGACCTACATGTGATCTTGGGGAGAGTGGAGGCTGGGTAGAATTTGATATTTGGAGAAAGCACAGCTGCCTGCTTTTTGCACTCTTTAACTCCTTACTTCAAGCCCTAAACTTCTCAGTTCAGCCCACCGCTCCTGGCCATGCTCCCACCCCACATGACTAAGCAGGACCTGAAGCCTCTCTCAGGCTGGTATCACCTTGACATCAGAAGCCACCACAAGACACAGGGCGTCCTTTCCTACTTCCGCACCCCACTCCTGTGATTAAAACTCTGACCGCACCTTTCTTGGTTGTAAGGATCCCCTCTAGACCACGGGTTCTGGGTCTCACCCTCTCCCTTCAGCTGGCCTCGCTGCCGCTGGTGAATCTTGGCCCCCAGAAAGCAGAAAGCAGCAGCCGTCCCCACATTGCCACTCACTGTCCCTCTGCTGCAGACTTACGCTGCATCCTGTCGCGTGTATCCTCTGTGGGTTATCAGGCTTCAGGAGAGGAGGGGGTGCAGTTGCTGCCTGCTGCATCTGTCTCCTTCTGAATCAGCCACCCCCGCTCCCCAGGTGCCAGAACAGCTCGCTGGGTTAGAAGGCTCCCCATTGCTGCCCCTCCTGCCACCCGCTGCAGCATTGGTAGCGGACTTCTAGTGAGTCTTTTGTTGTGGAAGCTTTGAGCCCATGGCAGGGAGGTTACCGAGAGACTCCCACAGGCTGCCCGCCCTCCCCTTGCTCCCTCTCTCTTTCCTCCCTTTGTCTCCTTCAGTAGCTGGGGTCAGAGTCCCTAGCCAGACTGAGAACATGGTTGCTATTCCAGGACCCAGATGCCAATATGTGGCAGCATCTGGCTTCTTGGCAAGCATTGCCGGCAGTGTGCTGGTGGCTTCTGGGCCTGTCATGTGGCTGTGCCTGCTGATGGGGGCCCTGTCACAAAACGGGGTTTCTTTGAGAATATGGCTTCAACCAAGGAGCCCACCAGAAAACAATGAGCCGCACTGAGGGGCCGTGAATTATTGGGCAGGGCGATGCCTACGTGGCTTTGATGCGGATTCTGGACCTGCTCTGCAAAAACCCCCGTTTCATGCAGTGGGAGCTGGCTCCTGGCGTCAGCTCACCTTCCTGCGTTGTTGGTGTTCCAGGTGCCTTAAGGCATGGAGCTCCTTGAAAGAGAAACACAAATCACTAAAAATATGGAGACAAAATCCTGCTCCTCAGAGGCGCCTGTTTGGCACAGAGAGTGCAGGATAACAGCTTGCTTTAGAAAGGTGACATTTCTGCTGAAGGCTGCATAATAAAAAAGGCATTTTAAAAACTCAGCTCTTTGTGTCTTCTGATGGTTGACTTTTGGAGTGAAGGCCATTTCTTCAGTGGGAAGGGTCTCTGAGGCTAGCCTCTGCAGCCCCCAAACGTGGCAAGTTAACTCTTGTCATCTCTGATGAGGCTGAGGGGCTGTTGGCTTAAATTAATTATCACGCAATAGGGCTTTTTACACTTTCTTTCAATGTGCAAACACTGAGTGCTCACAATGTGTCCAGCACTGTCCTAGGCATTGAGGGACAGAGACAAAGATGAAAAGCGTGTGGTTCCTGCCCCTGGGGACTCAGGACACAGATGACCAGGTTAAGGGTGCTTCTGTTACTTAACGTCTTCTCCACAACCTGTACAGTTGGACAGGGCGAGTGATATGCTCTGTGTTTTACCAGTGGAGGAACTAAGGCCCAGAGACGTGATGTGATTGCTTCACTAAATGGATGTGTGTTGAATTCTTAGGTTGTAAACTCCTGAGGGCAGGAGCTGTGTCTTTAACTTTTTGCAACCCGGTTAGCAACCCCTACTCGCCCATGGCCCACTTTCCACATGTCTCCCCTCCCAAACGCACACACACACAACCAAACCAAACCTGTTGCTGTAGAGTCGACTCCTACTCGTAGCGAACCCTGGTTGCATAGTGGTTAAGAGCTATGGCTGCTAAGCAAAAGGTCAGCAGTTCGAATCCACCAGGCGCCCCTTGGAAACCCTTGTGGGGCAGTTCTGTTCTCTCCTATGGGGTCGCTATGAGTCTATGAGTCACACACACACCACCCCCGAAATAATACAGGGATCTTCACAAAACTGAGGCGAAGTTCCTCTGACAGGCTGAGAGAAAGCATCAGGAGAAAGCAACAGCAAACTTAGCTTGATTTAGAAGATGATGATGATTTCGTGGTCTAGGGCTCACAGTAAGAGGACTGAAGGGCTGGCCCTTTGAACTCTCAAAACTGACCTGCTGGAACTGCCTTCTTACACGGCCCTACACTGAGGAGAAATTTGCTGGGAATGGAATCAGAATTGATCAGGACAGGGACAAAATTGATCAGGAGAGGTCAGATCAAAGGAGGGAGAGACAGCCAGGACATCTCAGAAAGCAGGATGTCACTTTTCTTTTTTATGCTTCACAAAAACAAGAGGGAGCTCTGGGAAGTTAGAAACTGTTTTTAAAAGCCCGCTTCCTTCTAATAGTTCAAGAAAACTAATTTCACATAAAAATGCACAACAGAAACAAATCAATGTCAAGGCTAATACAAAGTTGTTATAAGAAAAGAGAATTAGGAGTGGAATTAGGAGTGGAATATCACCACAGACAACAAAAGTACTCCAGAAAGAGGTGCTCACAAAACAGATCAAAACAGCAATTTACTGTATGTAAAAGTGAACAGAAAGACAATAAGAAAACTATAAAAGACACGAAAGAAAAACATAAATCATAATTAAAAAAACAAATGAAGTGACAATTCAGGAAAGAATTAGAAATAAAAAAAGTGATTTCTAAAATGAAAACTAAATTATAAGGAGTGAATGAGTGCGTGAATAAACACAGCAGATACTGCCTTAAGAGAACTATAAAAGGAAAAGGAAAGTTTTAAAAAATAAAAAAGAAATTAAGATAAAAAGGATTCAAGATAAAGTGCCAAATATTGAAGTAGATAAAGAAGCTCAAACATATGGTTAATAGGAAATCTTGAAAAAACAAAAGCAAAGGACCTGAACTAATAAAAAACTGATTCAAGAAAACTTCTCTGAGATTTAAAAAAAAATGGAAGCTACATAGGGAAAGAGCACACCACATAGCTGAGTATAATGACAGTATGACCAATGTGAAGAAAAGGGAAAAATGCTTTGAACATCTAAATATATATATATGTATATATGGGGAAAAATTAGATTATTATCACTCTTCCTGACAGCAGTGCTTTGATCCAGGAAAAAAAAAAATGACATGTTTAAAAGATCCAAGGAAAGAAAGAGTGAGCCAAGGATTTTATACCCAGCAAAACTGACTTTTAAGTAGAAACGGCACCATTGATGAGCATGCAGGAACTCAGGGCGTATTATTCCCATAAGCTCTTCCTGAGGAATCTGGTAGAGACGCCTGAAATGAGGAACAAGATGTTATATAAGGACTTGAGCACTGAATGGACAGTTACCTGCAGAACTGAGACTGAAGGATGTACGAGGGGGCCAGCAGCTGTGCGCGGCTCTGTGC